CCTGACTTACAAAAGCGTTACATTTCTGTACAACTCGGGCTTGCCTGAATAGCGCCTAGACAGAAGTGGGGAAAAACTATCTAGAGCCTTTACAAGCCCTCTTTTAAATTTCTACCCGGGTACTTTCTTCTAACATTTTAGTAAAAAATACACTCTGATTGTACTTTAGAAAGCATGTTCAGTGTTTGTTATTAACAAAAAAGTTATTTATATCGTCGAACTTCCCATCGATCGATATTTGAAGGCGCGATTGTGCAACTAACTTTCAGTTGGCCTTTCATGCAGTTAATGGAAATCCGCGTAGGCATTCGACGCGTTAATAAGAAGGGACGATAAGCGGAACGAGACGCGTCGAACTTCTCAGTCTCGTGTATTGTGAGACGCGAAACTAGGACGAACTAGGACGAATTTCTGAAACCCGCGGGAATGTCTGAAAGCACCTATAAAAAATTAAAAAAAAAACGAGGACGCGTCCTCAGAAACCAGGACGTCTGGTCACTCGGGGTGCATCATTGATTTCGCACTGAAATGTATAACGAAGAAGCGAGAGCGAGAGAACGAGAACAAACGAGAGAGACCAGAGGAAGAACGGGAGGCAAAAGGAGCGAGAGGGAGAGGGTGGGAGGAAAAAGGAGAGGGAAAAAGAGAAAGAGAAAGAGAGAGATTGCGATGAGACGTATGCTTCTTTTTTCGTTCACTTCTCGTCAGCTATGATCCGAATAATATACACGGTGTGTGTGTGGGGGCGTATGTGAGAGAGAACTGGATTACTCTTCGAGAGTGGCTGTCCCATGGCGAATGTTGCCGGTGCTCGTAAAGTGAACGAACCGGTCCGAGGTGCGGATACACCCCGATGTCGCACCGCGCGTCCGATACCGTCAAGTACGATATAATCATCCCGTGGTACGCGCACCGCGCTACGATATAGTGGCAAGAGACCCACCGATCTGACTCACCGATCCGTATCGATGGGAACCCAACGCGCGCGCCCGGTCTACGTTAAATATTACGACGATGACTATTACTACTACTACGACGACGACGACGACTGCGATAAATTTCCTCCTGAGTACAAGACGAGTATCAGACCGGTGTTTATCGAAGCAAGCGAACCGTTTTAAATACGCTAGAAAAATTTATAATTATTAATAGGCCGCGCTTTTTCCTGGACCTGTAATCGGCACGGCGAAAGGAAGCCACGCGACTGGTATGTCGAGTTCGTGGTTGTTTTTGGAATTATGAAAATGGAAAGATAAATACACACGCGTACGCACACATATACTTTCGCATACACACACACACACACACACACACACACACACACACACACATACACGCACGGACAATATACGCTGCTCGAAATCGCGATAGGAAAATGTAGGAAAATAGTACATCGGCGCGAAAGATTTATTATTTTTCCATTGAATTTTGTTTACGCGAGAAAGCGTTTGTACCGACTTGATATTTATACAACCGGATGACAACGTCGAGAATATTTCGTGGCGGGTGGACGTTATAATACCGTTAAAAATGATAACTACTTGTTTAATAAAAATATTGTAAAATCACGGGGAAATGACGATTGCCAATTATATAAGCGTCCCTATTTCTAAAGAGAATATATATTCTGTAAATCTTATTCATAAAATTAATAAATAATATCAATATCATAGTTTAAAATACTAAACCTAAAAATTAAAGTTAAAGTTGAAATTTATCACAGATACTGAAAAATAAATAAATCTTGAATAATGTATATATGATAAATAAATAAATTTATTGTGTTAAATTTAATATAAGACAGTATCATTTTATGTACTACTTTGTTTCTTAAAAATATAATAATGTTAACAAGTTTTTTTAAAATATTTGTTAATCAGTCAGTAATAGTGTGGTCAATCAATAATAGGACCGCCCATATGTTTATCGCCGATCAGTAATAGGGACATACATAGGTCATAAATTGGGACAAAATCAAACTGACTGGTCACTAAATGATACTTTAGCCACTTTTGAGAAAATATTATAGATAAATTAAAATCTTCCCGCAAATAAGCACAATATAACATAATTAAAATCCCAAATGTTCAAGCTTTTCAACAAAATCAATTTTATGTATTTAGTTTAGCATTTATATTATTAATTTATCATTTTATTTTCACGATGAGCTTACTTGGTCTAATAATTACTTGGTCTACTAATTGGGACATTCACCTTAATGGAAGCGATAATGAAATACTCTTTCTCAAATCAATATTGATATACAGGTCAAAATAGTTTCTTTATATTTAATATTCTACTTGTTTATGTGTAATTTGAAAAAAATAACTTTAAATCAAATATTATTTTGTCTTATTATATTAAATCCTATTATTTGATGGAAAGAACACTATTATTTAAAAAAAATAAATATTGTTTGAATTAATCATATAATGTTTGATTGAAAAATGCCATACTGAGATAAAAATATTTGAAAATTTACTTGTAAAATAAAAGTTTACTTCACAGAAATATATATATATATATATATATATATATATATATATATATATAAACTTTATATTCCACAAATAAATTTTCAAGTATTTTTCTCAGTATACAGAGTGTCCAACAATTAACCCGAGGCATATTCGTTGTGATAGATAAACTATCGTTTGCAAGTCACGTAAAATTTTAAGTTATTAATTAAGGAAAATTGATTAAAATTGACATCGACATCGTATCGACAAAATTATACATATCTATCGTTCACGCAATATTAATCTTCCTTTATATGTTTCATTAGTGGTATTATGTTTATTATACCGGATACTCTGTATAATAAAAATATGAAGAAATAGGTACAGATAATATGTTTATATTTCTTTTTGGTACATCGAAAAATATTTTACATACTGATACATTTATTTATAGTGTACAACTAGTTTCATGTTTTTAATGACATATTATTTTTTTCTGTTCCTTTTTATATATTTTATATTATTTAGTACTTCATGACAAATAGTGAAATATAATTAATATGTTATTTGTTTTCTAATGTCTTTTAATATATGTCTTTTAATGTGTAATAATATAATAAATATTATTTATCAACTAAATTTTTAGTTATAATTATACTATCTATCTACAAGGGAGTATCTATTAGATATTATTCATATATCAACTAAATATCAATATGATATCAATGAAATATCATATAAATCTATCCTTGATGTAACATCGATACAGCACCGATAAAATGTCGATCTTCTATTGAAGATCAATAATGGATCTAGTTATAATCGAATGGTCCGAAAAATCATCATCAATTCGATTATCGACTTGTGAACCCGGATAACGTGAAAAAAGAAACTTATCTGAGATTATTTCTCAAAATTATTTAAATATAATTATCGAACTTTTTAGTGAAATGAGAAAATTAAATAAAATGATTTTCTTCTTTAAGACTCCTGGCTCCACTGTTACGAAATCCTGAATTGATAATGTCAGATGATTAGAATTCTTAAAATTAACATAACAAAATCATAAGGAAAGACAAATTAAAGAAAAAAGTTGCATGTCACGTTAATTTTAAAGCTACTTATTGTTTCTTAAAAAGAAAAGTTTATGGAACAATTTACAAGTATACTCAAGCAATCTTAGTGTTCTTTCATGCTTTCATACAAATATATCTTTATTTGAAAATAACAAAAATTTTTGGCATATGTTTTCTGATGTAATCAATTTATTGTTCTACGGCAATAAGACAAAGTCTGAGTAATAAATAATAATTTTTTTTTTAATTTAGATCAAACAATACAAAATTATTTAAAAAGTTAAACAATTAGAGATAAAAAAATTAGTTTATTTGAGCTATCTCTCAAAAAATAATTTTTTTGCATTTACTAAAATTTATTGAATCTAAAGAAACCGTTCTCTTGGTATGAGTTGACAATGCAAATTTGGAATGGAAATATCTAATAGAATGGAGACATTGAGAAATATCTTACTTCTGAATAAGGTCCAATAAAACGAAGTACTTAAAATTTAATTACAACTTACTAGCGAAAAAATAAAAAGTGAATAAATCGAAAAGTCGGAAAAATAAAAGACAATAAATGTGGATTATCGAGAAAATTTAAGGAACATTAATAAATATATAATAATAAGTAATAAATAACACAATTGAAAAAGTGCAAAACTTTTTTTCTTTTGAAAATATTATTTATGATTATTGGATAAATTATTTTGTACATGAAGAGAAATTTCATTATTTATTAAAAGATATTATGCAAGAAATGTAGAAAACATGGTAAGCAACAAAAAGAAAAAGAAGAAAATTTATCCCATTTTTTACATAAATTCTTCAGGTTGTTAATTATCTAACTTTACAATGCTTTATATTATCAGCATTCTTTGACAAGCAAAACTTTTTTATGCCATTAAGAAGGTTATTAATAATGATTAATAATGATAATCGGTAAGACATTATTAATACAAATACACTGAGAGCATACATTAAATATAAACATTAGAGAACTTATTTTAAGCAAGCCAGACTGACTCAATCACTATAATATTTAATTTTGAAGTGAAATAAAAATATAAAATTATTTATATTTCTATATTTCTCGTCTGGCGTTTCTCATCTCAACGTCATATATAACAAGTTTTATAGCGAAAGTATTATTTTTTAAATTCTTAACATTTATATAAATAATATCACGTGCACAGTAAAAATTCAAGATATTTTATTGACTGCGCCATATTTTATTCACATCAATCAGAGATAAAAGAACTTTATCTAAACTCTGTATTCTAGAAGAAATTAGGATAAAATATGCCAATAAGCTGTCTCGATTTTTTACTCTGCACGCAGTATTATTTAAGTAAAAGTATAAAAAAATTATTTAAAATAAGAATATAAAAATAAAAAACAAACTCATTTGTAACAGTTATTTGCTAAAAATATAAATTGCATATATTATAAGTAAATATTATAAGTAAATATTAAACATATATATTATATATTATATTTTATTTTATATATTATATATTATTTTACAATACTATACATAGTCATATTTATACATAGTTTTATTGTTAACACTTTCTGTTCAGTTCATAGGAATATTTTATCGAAAATTCTTTCAAATTTCTATTTGTACAATTTGGAATACAATAGCTATTTCTTACATGACTCATATATTTTTTTAACAAATAAACATGTTCAGACTTTTACTTAAGGGACTCTAAAAAAATAAGCTCCTATTCCATATTAGCCTATTCCATATTAGCCTGTACCTATTTTTATCTTTACTTTACTCCAATCGACTGTGCACATTTTCTTTTTACTCGCAAAAACTCCAGCTTTACCGCGGCAGAAAATGAAAATAATAGTGAGCGTCTTTGTTCACGCTAAATACGGTAGATCTGGTAACTAATTGCGAGTAGGGTCGCACATAAGGCGGCACTATATCACATTAAGGGTTAAATATGGTCGACGCGTGAAAAAGTCAGAATCGCCAGGTGTCGCAGACTGTATAACCAGGTCACATAAATATCTCCAATTGAAAATGCCGGCATGGGGAATAATAGCCGTATAGTAATATAAGCACCGACACAATGAAAATGACCGAACAATGGCCACGCGCGCGCCTCGGGGACTTTCTCTCTCTCCCTCTCTCTCTTCCTCTCTCTCTCTCTCTCTCCTCTCTTTTCCTCTCTCTATGGATCTCTCCTAGGACATATAATAAATTCTAAATTAAAAATTGACCAATAAGGTTGACATATAACGAACACATACACGTATACGCGTGTATAATAAAATCGAGGCATAATGAACAAACGAATAATATATCGCGGAATCGGTGCTTAGGCATAATAAATTTAAAATCGGCTACAGGCACGAGCAAGAGAGACAGACAGCCTGAACGAGAGAGAAAGAAAGAACGCGCATGGTAATGAAATATAATGAAGCGATGCAATAAAAAGGGAGCGAGTACAACGAGTCGCGATGCCGAGAGAGTATAATACTCAGCCACGTGGGCGTTCGAAACGGATCGCTCCGTGAATGTATAAATCGCGTTGCCGGTTCCCGCGCAACGTTCGACACCGTCATAAAACCTGAACCGGTCTGGGTTTCGATGCTCGCGAGCGCGCCCGCGTACGACTGTATTAATATGTATTATCAGCCTCTCTCTTTATCTCTTGGTCAGTCACACTCTCTTTCTCTCTCTCTTTTACTCGCGTATTCATTCTCGCGTTCGGCCTCTTGCTCACTCACTTGCTCGCTCACTCGCGCACTTCGCAAATGGACCGGCGATTCTGACCACATAACGCGTTATCCTTCTAGGATCGCACACTTGTCCGGTGGGAAAATACAGCACGCCTCGCGAGATTCGTAGCGAAGCACAGCGGTATGAGTAGACGACGAGAGTTCATTCGTCAGGTAACCCATACAGTACAGGTAGATCCTACGCATGTATGAAATATATTGCAAACGTAGATGCGAACGTGTATATCACATTAATATTCGAAATACGTACTATGATATTCTGAGAATGTGCGGAGGATGTTTCTATGTCCATATCCATAGACTACTCAATATATATATTGAGAACATTTTCTATTATGTAAATATACCAACAGAATATTTTAATTTTTGGTATTATATACCAATGTCTACTACAAATATCTCTTAGTATATTACGAATATATAGAAAAAATATCGATTCTGAAAAAAGAAGAAAAATATCTAAAACACATATTATTATAATATATTACTATATATTACAATAACAGATTATATATAATTACTAATAAATTTTTTATATATATATATATATATATATATATAATAATTCCACACTTTCATTAATTTTTTACAAGAAAAATTTATCCTTTCATCCTACTCTTCTATATATTCAATCTCTTCTATATCTATAAATTTTTCTTGTAAAAAATTAATGAAAGTGTGGAATTATT